TCTGAGCAAAAGTTGCTGGTTTTCTTTCCTCTGAATAAAACTGAACTGTGGGTTCTTTGTAGAAAGTTGACATTTTGAGCTTTCCCTCTTTTTGTAAAGTGATTTCTGCATAGGTTATTGTCCAGTTAACTTTAGTGAGCTTTTCAAATTTGGTATTGTAAGTAAAACAACTTACGAAAGTTTTCTGCAGTAGAGTTAACAAAATACTATCTTTATTCAGAAGTTGGAAATTGGAAAAAGGCTACTTGAAGTAACTGTTCCAAGTGGGGTTGTCTAGAATGTCTTCCAGCCTCCTAGAGTCAAGGAGTATCACGGGTACAGATGAGTCTGCAGGTAGCAGGACTCCCTTAGTTGGACCTGAGGACTTGATTTGTTTTAAAGTTTTTAATCTCAGCTTTGAATATGTTGCCTAGAGACTTAGTAACTACCGAGTTTTGTGGTTTGGGGGAGAAATGTAACTAGACAGTTTGTTAGCTTTTCAATTAAAGGCAACACTTAATTCATAAAAAAAAAAAAAAATCCCCAAGGCAAGGAATTATGCTTATTTTGTGCACTGGTGAGCAACCCAAATCCCAGTCACATCCTGCAGCTGTACTAATCCAAGGCAGGTCAAATGGGTGGCTGTGCAGTACCAAGACTGCTACTTAAGCTGTACCTAACACTTGCAATTGTGTCTTTGTACTCCGATGTTTAAATATTTCTGTTCTCTATCACAACTGAGAGAAATAAAATAAATATGCAACATTAAATAATTGCCCATCATTTGCCTCATTTTCTCTTCAAAAGGAAATGGATGTGTGTTATATAAAGAGATTATGGGGTAACTGCAACTGACTGAGGGCTGATACATCTAAGCTGCAGCAACCTTTGAAGATGGCAAAACTCAGATAACCTGTGAGGCTTTGTATTTTTTTTTGTCTTCATTTATGTATTTGGTAGAGGGTCCCACTACGCAGCTTGGACTCATAGTGATGCTCCTGTTTTTAGCCACCCAGCGCTGGGATTACAGCTGTGCACCACTCAGGGGTTCCTAGGGGGGCCGGTCAGCACAGCATATGGGACTCGAGATCGAACCCTTGGGTTTTCTTTTGAGATGAGCTCTTGCAAACACTCTTGTGAAGACTTGACATGTTGAGGTTATCTGCCTGCTACACAAACACCGAGAAATACTAAATGTAAAATGTAAATTCCGTATAAAACACTGAAAGTGGCTACTTCAACAAAGCAGTCAGGCTCAGGTTGCAGTGGTTCAATCCCCATGACTCAAGCCAGCCAAACCTGCCCTGAAGGCATTCGGAGCAAAAAAACAAAACAAAACAAAACAAAACAAAACAAAAACAAAAAAAAAACACTGAAAGCATAATTTGCAAGCGATTATTGTTAAATCTATCGTGGTGGAGTGAAAGCAGCTGACAACCATAAAAATTTTGGTTCTGTTCCAATAAAAATTTTGTGCACTGAAACTTGAATTTTTTCTTAATTTTTATGTGTCAAAAATTTTATAAATTTTTAGGGGCCGGGGAGATAGCTCAGTGGAATAAGCGCTTCCCTGGCAAGTGCAAGGGCCTGAGTTCAATCCCCGGTTCCATCAAAAAAGCAAAAAAGAAAAGAAACAAAAAAGAAAAATTTTATAAATTTTTAAAAGTAGTTTTTTATTTATGTTAAGTTTCAAGTAGTATGGTTTGTAAACCTAAACATTTGGCTTCTAGCTCTTTACAGGAATTTTGAAGAATTGGTACAATTGAAACAAAACAGGACACCAGTTGATCAGTTTTATTATTGTAATTTTAATATATGTAGTACAGGGTCTCACTATGCAGCTCGGACTTGTAGTGATGCTGCTGTTTTCAGCCTCCCCAGGGTTGGGATTTCAGACACGTGCCACTCAGCACTCCTGGAGGCAGGGCTAGCGCGGCATGTGGTGCGGGAAATCAAAACCTGGTCCCTGAGCTATCTCACTGGCTCTAGCTGATCAGTTTTGAAGCTGGGGATTCATTTCACCGTTTACTTTTGTGTGTGCACCCGTGTGCTGGGAACTGAACTAGTGTCCTCTAAACATTCTGGGTCTCAAGAAGTGATTGATCTAACTTATTTTCCTTCCTCTAAACAAGGTCCTCTGATTATTTGTTTTTTAGGCGGAACCGAGGATTGAGTTCAGGCCCTTGCATTTGCCAGGGAAGCGCTTATTCCACTGAGCCATCTCCCCGGCCCCTTCCTCTGAAAATTTTAAACCCAAGCTGTAAACAAATTCGTTTGCCTTTGGTTTATGAATTTTCTGAAAAAGTCTACGAAGTCTGCAGCGGTGGTGACAAAAACCCTTTATTCTTGACAGTGACTGAATATGTGACACAAACACGGTCAAGGAAAGGATATTTTCTTTAGAGTTGTGTTATCTTTGCACAATACTACAAATTCTTCAGCTCAACCCCATGCCTACAAAATCAAAACACAGTCCCCTCTAGCTGTCACCAGAGGATACCCCTCCTTCAGCCGATTTGCGGAAATGACGCCAGCAGCTAGCGGCTCCTTCGCTGTTCTTCACAGGGGCGTGTTAAGACGCTGACGTCAGCACGCCGGTCCTGACTGGCGGTTCCTGACCCCGCCCTGACACGGTGCTCCTGACCCCGACTGCGGCTGCGCAGATACGCTGGGCGGGGCCTTAGGTCACACCGCCCCTTTGCGGCCGGCGCCTGAGGGCGGGGTAATTCCTGAGCTGCCCGAATGATTAGCCGAGGTGGCGCCCCGCCTCCTGCTCCTTCTGCCCGCGGGGTGTCACCGCGCTGCGTTGGGGAAGGGGCAAGGGGGCCGAGTCCTAAGGCGGCTGGCGGGCTGTACGACTTGGTGAGGGACGGGAGCAGTGGGAGAAGGGCCGCGTGGCGTGGCGTGGCGTGGCGTGGCGTGGCGTGGCGTGGTTTGGGGGCCCTCAGGTCAGGCACTGGACGGACGGCTGTCGAGCCCAGAGAGGCCGAGGGGCGAGGCTCTTGCTGGCTTTGCACTGGGAGGCGGGGTGCTGGGTCCGGATCTCTCCGAGTCGCGCGGCCGCCGTTCTCAAGCTTTTCTTGGGAATCTGGCACCACCTCAGCGTGCCTGCGCAGGAGTGGTTTGGGACGCCGGAAGGGCATTTAAATCCCTCAGCGCTTGGAGGCTTTCCCGGGCGCTTTCCTCCTTTCCCCGCCGGGAGAGAGACGCGGAGTCGAGCCGAGTGGGCGCGGTGTCGTCTACCGAGCCGCGCAGTCAGAGGGAAGGTTTCCTCTCCCTTCCCCCTGCCTGCGATTGGCCAGCATTCCCACTGCTTTCCAGAAACGTACTAGGAAACTTTAAAATTGGATGTGTTTGGAAGGTGACCTGGGAATGTGTGAATCCAGATGACTTCTGGTCTTTATTCTCCCTAGTGTATTTAGGGTTGTGAGAAGGAGCTCAGCTTTAGATATCGGCCTCGCAGGATTCTAGGGCTTAATATTGATGTTACCTATCGTGTTTCTTGCGATGTTTTCCTGAAACATAAGTTTCTGTGAAATCTAAGCAGTGTAAAAGTTGATCCCGTTCATTGTGGCAAGAGGAGGCAGATAAATACAGTAATCTCTAGATTCTGATAATTGAACTTTAAAAATGTGGCCTCTTGTTTTTTGCACAAACCTTTGGGTATTTTTTTCTTTCACAGATTTAATAGCCTACCACTGAGGAAGATGTGTTGGAATAACTGCTGAAACTGCCTTTTATTGACCAGAAACCATCTTTTTTTGTACTTATTTTTGCTTTCCCTACCGCTTTGAGCTTTATTGTAAAAGCTGAAAAACTTGGAAAATAAAATGAACATGCTGTGGTCTTGAATATAATTTTTTGAGAAAAAATTAAAGTGCCAGAGTGAAAGCCAGAATGGCATCCAGAGAGAGGCTTTTTGAACTTTGGATGCTTTATTGTACGAAGGTAATCGCTTTCTTTTTTTATTTCTGTTTTAAATACTTTAATACTTTGTGACAGGCATTATTAATTCATCGTATACTAGTGTATCTATACGAATAATCCCAAATTAAAAATACAAGGGATTTTCAGTTTTTTTGGTTTTACGTATTTCAGACATACACATAATTGGCAGACTATAAGACTGTAGAATGTGTTTTCATTCAATTCTTCTGATTTCAAAGTTAGATAAAACTTTCTATAAAAGACAAATATTTCTGTTTATACCTCTACAAGTGGAGCAAGATAAACACATTTTGTGAGAAATGTATAGAAAGGATATTGTATAGAAAGGATATTGACATGCTTACTGTGTGATTGCTGCTATTTAGGAGCAGTGTCTCATTTGATAGTTATGTGTCCTGAAGGTATTTTAATTGTTGCCTTTTACTGATGAGGAAACGGATGCTTCAAGTCCATACTTCTAGCCATTATGACTCTAAAATTTTTGTTTTTATCATTTAGAAATAATTTTCTTTCACTTTTCCTTTATGTAAATTTTTAGGTGCAGCTTTGATTTTAGGTTACTAGGAAGGGTGCTTTTTTTAAAACATGTTTTGCAAGTGAGGAGCCTTATTACTGCTTTGAAGATAGCCAGGGTCAGAAAAATACAGCTAATTTATTTAAGTGGGCGTGGTAAAGTTCTGAAGGCAGCTTCCTTGTACATACTTTCAGATTTATTTATTTATTTTTTTTTTGTGGAACCGGGAATTGAACTGGCCATTGCGCTTGCCAGGGAAGCGCTTATTCCACTAAGCCATCTCCCTGGACCCTCAGATCTTTAAACATGGTTATTTCTTAGTGATCTCATTTATTTGTAACATTAAATTTTAGATAAATTTTAATGTCCTGGTTTTTTATAATTACTAAAGTTCACACACCTTGAAATGTTTACAATATGAATTTTTTAAATATTTAAGTCTTGAATAATTTAATGCCAGAAATATCTTTTAAAAAAATAGACAATGGTTCAACATAAAGAACACCAGACATTTTTTTTGAAGATAGTCACAAACATGTATTAGCCAAAAATTAAAGTGAAATTTTAGTATGACTTGCCAGTAATTTGAAAACAATTTTTTTTTTTTTTTTTTTTTTTTTTTGTATTTTGACAAAGGATTTCATTGTGTAGCCCATGCTGGGCTTAAACTCACTATGAAGTGTAGGCTGGCCTTGAACTCACAGTGATCCCTCTGCCTCAGCCTTCTAAGTGGTAGGATTACAGGGGGGCCTGCCCCTTAGCTCAGTTCTTTAGTGGCTGCTTCAACAAAGCAGTCAGGCTCAGGTTGCTGTAGTTGGCTCCCCACAACTCAAGCCAGCCAAACATGCCCTGAAGGCATTCAGAGCAAAAAAAAAAAAAAAAAAAAAAAAAATCGAAGTGGTAGGATTACAGGTGTGTGCCACCACACCTCGTTAGCAATTTATATATTAAAACATATATTTACTAGATTTTACTGTTTTCATATAGACACAAGGTGAGTTTATTGTTTTATTGATTATAATGTTTGTAGGCAGGTTATTATATAAGTGATACTGTTCTTATTGAAAAGATTGTATAGTTTACTGGCATACACTTAATTTTTTTTTTTTTTTTTTGTGGTGGAACCGGGGATTGAACTCAGATCCTTGCGCTTGCCAGGGAAGCACTTATTCTACCGAGCCATCTCCCTGGCCCCATACACTGAATTTTATTACTCTTTTGAGATAGTGTCTTGCTGTCTTATCTGGAACCAGGATCTTCTTGCCTTAGCCTCTTGAGTGCTAGAATTAAAGGAATGTGCCATCATGCTGGGCTTACTGACTTTCAATGTATATGAATCCTTACTCTCTTTTGAGATGTCTGTCCTTAGTGATGAAGGTGTTAGTAATCATGCTCAAATTTTTTTTTTTTTTTTTTTTTGCCCCCTGTACTAGGGCTTGAACTCTGGGTCTCAAATGTGCTAGGGAAGTGCTGCATTACCGAGGTAATCAATCTCAAGACTCTGACAAAATGTTAAAACCTGTCTCTTGGATAGAAAGATAAATCCCATTTTTATGTTTAGGATTAAATCATACATGTATTTAGTAAGACTTAACTTCTAAAATTGTTTTTAAAGTGTAATTACTTGTAACTGTGATTTTATGTTTTGTTGTTTTATGGATAATACACCAATTAGATAATAACTTTTTCTTCTGCAAACCCCTTGATGCAGGTAGCTACCAAATACAGCTCAGAGATTTAACTCATCTACTTAATGAAGATGATTGCCAAATAGGCATTCTCTGGCCTTACTAGCCTTACCACCTTCACTCTAGCAGTTAACCCCTGAAAACCACTTAATTCTCCTCCCCTTATCAAGCTTGTGCTTTTTTCCTAACACTGTTTTTCCCTCCAGTATGGGGGAATGAACCCAGGGCATTCCTGCTGAACTACATCCCACCTCTTTATTTTTAATGTCATTTTGAGGTAGATACTCTGGCTAAGTAGCCAGGTTACCCATTTCCATCCTCTTGCCTCAGTGTCCTAGACTGCTGGGATTACAGGCATGAACCACCATGCCCAGCATTTTTTTTAATACCTTTGATGAATTTTCAGATGACTTCAGGACTGCTTAGATGTATTTTATTTTTGAGGTGCTCGAAATTGAACCCAGAACCTTACACTTCCTAAGCAGATGTTATGCCACTGAACTACACCTGCAGTCCCTGAACAAAAATGTTTCTACAGTTTGGTTCTTTTTTTCAGTGCTGGGGATTGAATATTGAACCCAGTGAGGCTTCTCACTGAACTGCATTCCCAATGTTTTTAAAAATCTTTTTGAGACAGGATCTCACTAACTTGCCCAGGATAGACTCAAACTTCGTGGCAATTTTCCTACCTCAACCTCCTGAATACTTGGGATTGTAGGCATATTGCCACCATCCTTTTTTTTTTTTTTTTTTTTTTTTTTTAAGGCAGTGTTTTGCTGTGTAGCCTAGGCTGGCCTTTAACTTGTGATCCTCTTGCCTTAGCCTCTGGAATGCTGGGATTTCAAGCATGTGCTGCCATGCTTGACTCTGTGACTTAGATCTAAGAGCTTCTCAGATGTTTCTGTGGGCTTCCAAGTGTAAAATTCTATGTTTTGTGACCTCAAGCAGACTTACCTCTTTGGTAAGTCTCATTTACTTACCTCTCATTTTTCTCACTTGATGACTAAGCATGTATACAGGGAGAGTGCATGTTCTGACTCACCATTAAGAATTTTATTTGGGGCCAGGGAGATAGCTCAGTAGAATAAGTGGTTGCCTGGCAAGTGTAGGGTGCTGAGTTCAATCCCTGGTACCACAAAAAAAAAAAAAAAAAAATTATCCACTGATGGACAAGTAATTTTTTGTGTGACCCTATTACATAAATTGTTATATAGAATCTTTTAGCTCTTTTTAAATTTTTCATGAATATATTCATTTTACCTTTTTGAGACAGGGTCTTGCTATACAGTGCAGGCTGGCCTTGAACTTAGTTTGTAGCCCAGGTTGGTCTCGAACTTGGAACAATCTTCCTGCCTCAGCCTTCCAAGTGCTGGAATTGCAGACATGTATCAGCACATCTAGCATAGCTGTTTTTAAAGCTGTTATTTTGTTTTATTTATTTGGTGGAACGAGGATTGAACTCAGGCCCTTGTGCTTGCCAGGGAAGTGCTTTTTCTACTGAACCATCTCCCCAGTCCCTAAAGCTTTTGTTTTAGAAAATTTTAAGCATCTAAAAAGTAGAGGTGATACAGTGAACTCTTTACCTAATACCCTACTTTAACAATCATAAGTTCATATTCAGTTATGTTTCATTTATAATCTTCTAGTTCTTCCTGTACTTCTAAATTATTTTAAAGCAAATCCCAATTTACAGTCCTACTCATAGCTATTTAAAGATCATTTGTGTAAGTAAGAATTTTTGTTTTGCTTTGTTTTGTTTTTTGAGACACGGTTTTGCTGTATGCCTCAGGCTTCCTGTAAACTATTTAGTGCAGGCTGGCTTCAAACTTTCGGCAATCCTGCCTCAACCTCCTTAGTCCTGGGATTACAGATGTGCAGGGCCAAAGAGATAGCTCAGTGGTCTAAGAGCCTGCCTAGGCAACCTAGACCTAGGTTCAGTCTCCAGAACCAGGTGCTGTGCCTGCCCAGCTCCAGGTGTGCCAAGCAGCCACCAAGACCTGGCATGGTGACGCACTCCTGTAGCACTGGTGCTGGGGAGGCTGAGACAGGAGGATCACTGAGTCCTAGCTGCATAGCGAGACCCTGTACAAATACATAAAGATTTAAAAAATATATATATATATGTATATATATATTATATATAATATGTATTTATAATATATATCACATTCACAGTTTCTGATAGTGCCATGATAATCTTATGTACCAGGACTCTACTGAAACAAAATTTATACATTTTATTAAATGAAAGTAGCTGTGAAACCTTTTAATGTATAGGATTCCCCTCACCATATATTTTTTTTTCTTTCTGTTGTTGAAGACACTGGATTTTGCCCTTAGAGTTTTCAAGTCTAAATTTTGCTCTTTTACATTTCTTTTTTTTTTTTTTTGATGTTTTCATATTTATATGATATAAGCTGTCATTTAAATCATGTTAAATGGACAACTTAGACATCTTCATTAAATTCTCAATGTTTTACAGTTATAAGCATTTTTTTCTAACTTTTAAATCACTCAAAAGAGAAACTCTGTACCCATCAAGCAATAAATCCCTCTTCTTTTCTTTTTTCCATCTTGGTCTCTAGTTGCTTCATATGTATTTTTTTTCCATAATTTTATTGACAGACAAATACCAATGAGATGCTTCCATTTCTTAATTTTACTTAATTCTCCCCGCTGTTTGGTGTCTGTAAACTGGCAGATGTTGAGGCTTAAATAATTCAGATTTGAGAGTGGGTGGTAGTGCACACCTGTAATCTCAGCACTCAGGAGGCTGAGGCGGGAAGATTGCTTTGAGT